GACCGTGGCGGGCGCATCCTTCTCCTCGGCCCCTGTTCCTTCCAGACCCAGATCGTTTTTCTTGCCTCTCTTCAGTCTCTTGGGTTCTGTGTTGCATTTCCGCAGACCACAGACGCGCACTCGGCCTTCAGCTTCACACGCTGGGCTTGCGCATGAGGAGGTGTTGGTGCTGCTCTCCGCGGAGGCTTCTCCGGGGATGGCTGACGGTCTGGATTTCACTGAGTGGGACAGGTCGAGCATCTTTCCCCAGCCTGACCTCTCAGGGGTCTGAACACTTACGTAAAGGGCCAGACCGTAGGTGCTTCAGGGTCTACGGCCTCTGTCTCGCTGTCACGTGAACGCGGCCACGGGGTCACGCAGGTCCTCTGCCCGTTGTGTTTACTGGGCCATCCTACCGAGTGGAAAGGTGTGCTCAGTCTTTTTAAATTTTCATTTAAAAACTTACCCAGTTTACCTTTTGTGACTTTGAGACGTCATTGTCACGTTCACTTGCTCTTGGTCCGTCCGGCGCAGCCTTCGTTTTTGTGACCCTCCCTGTGTGGCTCGTTCTCTCCAGGCCTCGGCCGCCTTTCCCGGCTCTGACTTAGGCGCCGCTTCCGTTTCCCGTATCGTTTCCTTTCTGTCCTCGCTTCGCTTTGAACGGTCAGTCGCGGCTCTGCTCTGTTCTGCGCGTGGCCGTCGTGCTCACGCCGCGTCGTGCGTGGGGTTTGACCTCTGCTTCTCCACTGTTCGTCACGTGAAATTCGTTCTCCTGAGTTTCCAGGAGGAGCACGGCAGGCAGCTCTTCTGACTCCCAGATAAGCGTGGCGGCCTCCTTTGGGGGACATCCAGGCCCTGTTCCCTCCCCAGCTTTTCTCTGATGTCTTGTCGTGCTCGACCCGGACCCCTCGTCAGAGGGGACTGACTCTCCACGTACCAGGCCTGAGTTGCTGGTTGGCCCACAGAGATTTCCCAAGAAAACGGGACGCTGGGAAGTGCTCCCGTCCTCCGGTCTGCCGGCCGGCTGCTGTGTCCCCGCAGGTGTGGCTGCCGTGCAGGGCTGTGGCTGTCCCGTGTTTGGGGCTTTGAGGCCACCTTATCACCTGGCACTACCTGGTTGTCGGTGGGGTTCTGGCCTTGTCACCTGGTTCCTCTTGTCGTTGACTAACGTGGGGATGCTGGGGGAGCTGCACTGTGCCGCCCCCGCCCCCCGCCCCCAGACGCTCTGTCCCTCGTGCCCTGGAGCAGGGTTCAGGTGGACACAGACTGAGTGGGGCTGCTGGCCTGAGCACAGGAGGCTCCGCCGCCGCTGCTGCACTCACTGCGAGAAGAGCCCGTGTCAGCGTCGTCAGCCCTTGGCCTGTTACCTTCCTGCGCGGGCGCTCTCGTCTCTGCTGTCGCGGGGTCGTGCAGTGGCGCACCCACGTGTGGATTTACTCGGCTCCTGGTTCTGGATTTGAGAGCCAATGAATAGCGTATTTCTTTTCCCTCGAGAAGAAAACCCAGAGAGGCAGGAGTCAGGTAGATGGATGCAGACATGTGCTCGGTCACTGATTGTCATGGGACCAGAGGGCACATCAGATGTGTGGCCCTCGAGCAGGGGCTGCACTTGTGGAGAAGACGCCTGTGGTCCCACAGAGGGCCCCCCCACCCACACCAGGCCCTCCCGTCAGCACCCTGCCCTCCACACGCGCGTGGTCCCGCAGGCATCCATCTGGGGGCACGTGGCCGCAGCGTCTGTCCAGAGAGGGAGCCAGGGGAGCCTGGGCTGGAACGGCCGGGGCGGCGCGGGGCCCGCTTCGCCTGCCGTCTTCGTGTCGCTGGCCGACGCCGACCTTCCCAGGCTGTGTCTCTGTTCCCGTGTCTGGGTCCAGCGCCGGCTCCGGGACCGTTTCAACTCCGCAGACGTGCGCGGGCCCCTCACTGAATGGTGCTCCACACTCTCCCAGGGCTGCAGACCAGCTTGCAGAGGCTCTCCGCTGAGATCGGGGAGCTGAAGCAGCACCTGGAGCACTACGACAAGATCCAGGAGCTGACGCGGATGCTGCAGGAGAGCCACAGGTGCGCCGGGGCGGGCCGGGCACGGGGCGGGCCGGGGCGGGCCGGGGAGCCGCTGGCATCGGGGCCCACGCTTGGCAACCCCCTGAGCTTCCCTTTCCTGATGAAAAGCGCCTCCCTTCGTGCTGCAGCGTCTGCGAGGTGTGACCTGTGAGGTGTGACGGGGGGCGGGGGCGTGGAGGAGGGTGGGGAGGAGCGCGGGGCACACGGGAGACCGTGAGCGGTGATCAAGGCCGCGTCCTGAAAGCCCTGGGTCTGTGGTCTGTCCTGTCCCCCTTGGCGCAGTCGTGTCTGTTCCCTCAGGAGCACGGTCACCCCGCTTGTACTCCCCGGCTGCGTGGTGGATGTGCGGGGGGAGCTGGGAGTTGGGGGGCTGTGCAGACAGGAAGTTGGCCTTGGGAGGAGGCGTGCTGCTGGGTGAGCTGGGGGGGCTGTGCCTGAGCTTTTTGGGGTACAGTTGGGTAAGCCCGGCTCCGTGGCCAGCGCCCCACCCGTCCCTTCCTCCGTTCTCTGCCCGTCCTCGTGCTCTCCTCCCGCCGATGCGGGCGCAGTCTGGCCACAGGTGGAGCCAGGCCCGGACCTTTCAGGGCTGGAGGCCACAGCCCTCAGGCCTGTCACAGGCACAAGTGGCAGAGGCTCCTGAGAGATGGGACCGAGTCGAGACTGGGTTAGGGAGGGAAATAGGACATAGCCGGGGGAGCAGGGAAGTGGCGGGCAGGGCAAGGTGACTTCCTGTGCGCGACGGGTCCATCTGTGGCAGTCACAAAGTTATTGACAGTGTGGGCTTGGTCTGGACCAGGCAGGGGTGCAGAGCTTCTAAGGCAGGACACAGACTTGTCCACTCTGAACGCCCACCCGGCCAGTGGCTGTTTCAGTGGTCCAAGCCAACAGGGCTGCCGCTCGCACAGGGCGTTTGTCACGGGGGGCACTTTGTGTGGAGAAACGTGGCCTTTCACACGTTTTTTGTGGTGCTACCGACATGCTTGAGTCATTGTTGACTGGGCGAGCACGGCAATCTGGAGATGACGGAAATCGGCAAAATACAACATCACCTTCTTTGTAAAATTCCTTCTAAAATTAAAAGCGGTTAACGATATAAAAAACCCGGACTTTATAATCGCACTGTTACACTTTCAGAATTATAGGAGGGTCCTTTGTACCTGACCAGGAATTAGGACTAGTTCAGTCTTTGGGTCTTTTCTAGAAGGAGAACGTTTTGCTGGCCGCGGATTGCGGCGGTCTGCTCAGTGAGCCCCGCAAGGCGGGAGCACTAGGGAGCTCGGCTGTGCACTGTCAGGTTCGCCCATCCAGTCCTGGGGCGGATGTGGGCCAGAGGCGAGTCCAGCCCAGCCCCACCTGGTCTGGGGGCCAGGGGCAGATGGGCAGTAGCCAGTGGGAGGCAGGAGGGGATCTGTCGCGGGGACAGGTGTGCGGGCCAGGGGGTGCCTGGGCCGGGGAGAGCGCTGGGCCATACTGGGTCCCAGAGGAGTGTGTGCCAATGGGCAGGCTTGGCCTGGCGAGGGCAGGGGCTCCTCGGGGGACAGCAGCAGAGCTGGCACGTCGCTGCCCTGTGTTCTCCCCAGTTCCCTGGTCAGCACCAACGAGCACCTCCTGCGGGAGCTGGGCCAGGCGCGGGCGCAGCACAGGGCCGAGGTGGAGCAGCTGCACTGGAGCTACAAGGAGCTCAAGAAGACCATGGCCCTGTCCCTGTCCCCACAGGGCAGCACCCGCCCGGGCGGCTGCTAGGCCCCCTGCCAGCCGGGAAGGGAAGCGGGAGTCCCTGGAACGCGGCCTTTCGAGCCGGCGGCCTGCACGTTTGTGCTCCTTCACCCGGGACAGGCACCTCAGCGCGTGAGGCTGGAAATGTGTTCAGGGCCCACAGCTGTTTTCTAAGACGTTCTGAAAAGACAGGATTAATCCAAGGCCTTCACAGGTTTTGAGACAAAGCACATTAACATTTCGAGACAAGGAGATCGTTAATTTTTCGTCAAATATCTCGATAAAGAAAATGCAGTATTTTTCTGCCTAATGTAAAAGAGAGCTGTATGTGATTATTAAAGAAAATTTTTTGTGTAACAGGTAATTTTTATTTAATAAACAAATACATTGTTCTAAAAAGTGGCTCTTTATAAATTATAACTGAGTTTCTCATTGAATTCTTTTATAAAACAAGCTGTATGCACCATGGGTGGTGAGCAGAAACAAGTAAGTTTCAGGATTTAGTAAAAGTAACATTTTTAGTTGTGAGAATCATTAAAAAATGTTATTTTGTGATATTAACATCTCACAGTAAAGATATCTACCCAAGCCCTCTGTCTCTTGCTTATAGTGTACTTCTGAAAATTAGGTCAGAACAGGGCATAAAATTAGAGTCTTAGCTTAGACACTTCATAGCTTATGTAGTGCTTGCTTTCTTCGATAAAACAGTTTTTAAAACAGTGCTTACTTGACTAAGGACGAGCGGGCCTGGAAGGGGGTGCTGTGTGTCGCTGCCGGGATTCTGTCACTGGGGGAGTCGGGAGGGGAGTCCCCGCGCTTTGGGTGTCTTTTCCAGTTCTCTGTCTGGCCATGGTTGTGTCCGACAGCTCTGGTTTTTGTAGCTTAGCCCGAAAATGTGTCCTAGCGAATGTAGTTTTTGTGTGTCAGGTGGGATTTTTGTCATTAGATCATTTTTTATTTATTTTAAAGATTTTAAATGCATTTTAAGCTTGTAAAAAATGATCACCATGTTTACTTTGTCTCACTAGAATTTCAATGAATTTCTTAGATCCGTGAGTATAGTTTTCATCAAATTTGGAAAAGTTTTAGCCACCGTTTCTTCAGATTTCTTATTTGACTCGCTCTCCCTGCACATCTGTCTGTCTGTCGTCTCCTTCTCCTCTCGGAACCCCAGTTTCACTTACGTTAGTCACCGATGTCGTCCCCGCAGGTCACGAAACGTGGGCCTTTTTTTCATCCTGTGCTCTCACTGCTTCAGTTGGGATCAGCTCTTTTGCCCTGTCGGAAAGCTTTCCGATCTTTTCTTCTGCCTTAGCTGCCTGCTGTTCGCCTATATAGTGAATTTTTAATTGCAGAAATTACATGTTTTTAGTTCTAAAATTCCAGTTGGTTTTTTTATTATTGTTCTATTTCCGATTGTGTTCATGTTTCATTGAACTCCTTAAGCATATGCTTAGTAGCTTTACTATAGGTCATTCAAATCGTCTCCAGAGCGGATAGACCAGCTAACGCTCCTGTAGTACGTGACGACTTCTCTCGGCTCATGTCTTGAGCACCTGTTGTCAGAGATTTTAGCGTCTTCATTCTAGAAAGTTTGTAATATACTGCCTGTGGTTTCAATTTGCTTCTCCCCAGGTATCGAGGGAGTTGAGTACCTTTTTGCGTGTTTATTGACCACCTGAATTTCGTTTTTTGTGAAGTGCTTATTCAGGTGTTTTTCCCTATTTTCCTGTTGGATAGTCTGTCTCCTGTTTATCTGCAGGAGTTATTTATAATTCCGGATAGTAGTACTTTGTGGATTACATTTGCAATAGGTTTTTCTTCACTTTTTAATGGTGTCTTTTGATTAAAAGAAATGTTAAACTTAATACGATCCAATATATTAGTCTTTTCCTTTATACTTAAAGAAATTTATATTCTAATTTTTAAAAATCTTTCTCCGTTCGTGGTCATGGAGATACTCTGCTGTGTTATACTTTCCAGAAGACTTTATAGTTTTGTGTGTTTTGGGGTTTTGTTAATGTGGTTAGTCACAGTAATTGTCCTCTACGTGGAACTGATGTTTGTGCGTGTTGTGGGGTCTGGGGGTCCGGTTTCACTGTTTTCAGATGCGAGTGCAGTTACCCAGCGTCGTCGTTGACAAGACTGTCTGGCCGTAAAGGGAGCATGCGTCCAGGCGTCTGTCCTCCCCACAGCCTCCCCCTCCGGCTGTGTGGACTCCCACACGCCGCACAGTGAGACCCCCGTCCCATGTGCCACACATTTGGGCCATTTTTGACCCTTTGCAGTTCATCAATTTTAGAACTGGCTGCGATTTTGAGACTGCATTGGATGGTTTGGGAGGAACTGACGCACAGGTGTTATTGGGCCTTAGAAGCCACGAATCAGCTATCTGTCCACTTACCGGGTCTTCTCCGGTGTACCTCGTTAGTTTATCATTCTCTCCGTCAAGGTTTTGTGCATCTTTTGTTATGTTATTCCTAGATTTTTCTTATTTTGTGATGACATTGTGAAAGATATATTTTTAAAAAATTGTTTGGATTTCATTTTCTGATTATTTGTTGCTATTACGTGGAAATCCAGATCCAGCAATCTTGTTAAATTTGAGTAATTTTAATAGTTTACTTGCAGTTACTTTAGCCTTTCTAGGCACGCGGTCATGTTTCCTGTGGGTGATGGGTTTTCTAGTTTCTTTTCTGTTTCTGCTCTGGGTTATTACATCATGTTTGTTTTATTTTGCTCTTTGTTTTCCATGCTACTGGTGCTTCTAGTACAGTAGAGATTAGAAGTGGTGATGGGGGGGACACCTTGGTCTCGTTCTGGGTTAAATAGAGAGCTTTACCATTTCATCACAAAACTTGTGCTAGATTTTTTTGTAGACGGCTTTTATCGGGTTAAAGAAGTTCCTTCTATTGTTAATTTGCTAAGAATTTTTCATCATGAATGGATGAATTTTATCAGACGCTTTTTTGCAGTGACCACGTGATCTCTCTCCTTTGCTGTTAATGTAGTTATCATGATTTGCTAACGTAAAAAAACCACCTTAAATTTCCACGATAAGCACAACTAAGTAATGAAGGGTTTTTCTTTATAGACATTGTTGTATTTGGTTTGTTAACATTTTGTTTAGGATTTTGTATTTTAGGTACATCGCTTAATGTCTAACTTTGGGCAGTTAAATTCTCTGTTCCTTAATGTCTGCATTTGTAAAACGGGGTGATCATAGTGTCTGCCTTGTAGATTGTCGTGAAGGCTGAGTGAGTGATTATAAAGTCGTAGGACGGTACCTGACACACAGTAAGCCCGATACAGTCGTTTGCGTGCTGGGCCACTCTGAGAGCTTCCCTTCCCTCGGCGACTTGCTGACTATGGTCTCAAGGTCAGGAAGCCTGTTTCTCTTCTGTTGGAAGAGATTCCTGCTTGACCCCAGTCGGACTTAGTGTGAGTGAGAAATTTTGTGTCTAGCCACTGAGATTTTGGGGGTTTTCCACTGTAGTTGGTAGTTACTTACTCTCCATCGTAGGACTGTGTGGCTTTCCATTTCTTCCTGAGTTAGTTTTCCTAAGTTATACATCTCTAGGAATTTGTCTAATTATCTAATTTTTAATTTTTTTTTTTTGCTTTAATACTCAGCTTTAACAGCATTTGAAGTTATGTCCCTGTGGCAGAGACAGAGGGCAGTGTGGCCCTTCAAGCAAGACCTTGCCATTCAGGGGAACGAATGCAAGTAAGAGATAACCGTCCGCTGCTCGTGGCCTTGGGCCGCGCTTCAGCTTTCGTATGGGGCCTGGCCAGCGACTGAGCAGGTGAGCCCAAGGGCCTGGCCTTCCTGCCCGGCCTCGCGTTTCTCAGGCCACCTCCAGAGGCGCCCCCATAGGCCGGCAAGGCTTGGTCAAGCCTGATCGTGGTCTGGAGGCCTCTCTGCTCCTCGTCTTCCCTGTGCCCTTCACGAGCACTGCCTTCCAGTAGCCCTGCTGACTCTGCTCTCGGGCATCTGCTTCTCGGCCCAGCTTCCACGCCCCCGGCCGCTCTCAGTGGTGGTCGGGCTCTGTTCCCTCCACCAGAAGCCGGTCAGGTTGATAGTCCTTCCAGAGGACCGTCCTTGGTCTTCATTTCCTTTTCTCCGTTTTCAATTTCTGCTCTTACCTTTCTGTTTTTAGCCATTCTGAAACCAACAGCACTTTGGCTTGAGAATATTGTCAGCTTTCTCGTTCTGTGTTTCTTCGTCTTGCTTTTCCGGCACATGGAACCGATACTCTTTAGCTTTAATCTGCTGTTTGTTCTATTCTGTGATTTTTTTCCTCGTCTGCTGCTGCTGTTTTTAGACTTTCGATCATTCAGCATTTCGCTTCTACTAGTTTGGAAGCTGTGTCCTGCTCCTGGTGTGTTATTACAACACGTTCACGTGCACTTCACCCTGTGCCCACACCTGACATCACGCGTCAGCCATCAGCACGTAAGTCCGTGCACCGTCTGCCTCCGTCTGCGATGGGTTTCGCCATCTCACGGGCGATGTTGCACAGTCGCTGTTTGCAGTGACTGTTGAGGCTTCGCTCCACGTTCCTTCCTCTGTCTCAGACAGTCCGTCTGTGGTCTCTTTCTTTCTGCATTGAGAATTTCGCCAACGTCCGTGGGTGGAAGTTCTCGCTACAGTTTTAAAATACCTGCATTTTATCTTCGTTTTTGAAGACTTTCACGAGGCTAGGCTAAGGTTTCAGGTTGGCAGTTACTCGATGGCGTCGTGCCGCCTTTGGGGCTGCTGCGGTTGTCTGTAGTGTAGTCTGTGTCTGGTCCCCCCGGTCTAGACCCGGCCCCCTGCAGAACTGCACCAGCACTAGACCAGGCCGTGGACACAGCAGATGCCCGTCTACCTGCTCCTCACCGGGCTGGGTCAGTGGTCACCGAAGTGAGGAAGCGAAAGGCTCTCTCGGGTGAGGTGACATGAGGCTCTCAGCCCCGGGAGCTGTGGCTCTGCCACTTCCTGTGGCCCCTCCCAGGGCCTGTCCCGTGTTAGGCATTAGTGCCCGTGTGTGGCTGCTGGGACAGACGGCACACTGCGGACAAGAGAGCCACAGTTTAACGCCTTTATTTATCACTTTTCCAACTGACACACAGGGTTAGCAGCAGCGAGCACAGGAGGGCGACATGCAGACAGATACGAGCCGCTTCACTAAAGGCTGCGAGCCGGGCGTTGACAGAAACTCCAGCAGGGACGCCGCGCCGCGCCCGCTGCCGGGGGAGTGGGGCCTCCCGCCCACGGACGTCCTGGGTGGTGGGGTCTAGCCTCAGTCGGGACACTCCTGACGTCACCGTCACTTACCCGTCACCGATCAAGTGATACACTCAGCACTTCCAACACTAATAAAACAGCGCAAAAATATATTGCATGTATAAATTTATTTCCCTTTCCTGAAAAAAACTTAGTACAAACTAGTAGCATATGGTCCCTTTCAAGTTTCTTTTAAGTTGTGCGGGTTTCCTCTGTTGTTTGGCTTGGTTTGGTTTTTCAAGAGTCTAAAAGAAGAGAGAGAGTTAACTAAAGCATCTCTGAGCGCGGTGACCACTGCCTGGCATGCCCAGGCCACGTCCTCCATGCGCCCATGGAGGCCATGGCCCCGAACCGCCAGGTTTCACCGCGTGTGCCGTGGTCAGTGGAGGGAAGCTTTTCAGGGTCAGTGTTGGTCATTTTCACAGTACGGCTGAACTGTCAACCTGAACAGGTGACAATAAGGTGTCCCTGTGTGGCGTGTGCTGTAAGAAGGGGTGGGGTAGCCAGCTTGTGTATAAATTCCAGGAGGAAATGGGCCGGGCCAAACTGGGTCCTCGAGGGCCTTTCTGTGAAGGGCCAGATAGCGCGGCCTGTGCCATTAACTTTATCCGGCGAACCGGGTGGCTGCCGGCCCAGGGTGTTGGAGTGTGTGTGCCTCTGCCTGCTGGCTCTGTGTCCACTCCGCGGGTCAGACGGACACAGTGGCCTTCCTGGAGCTCTCGGCCGCTGGGGCCTAGAGACGGGGCAGTGCAGACAGGAAGCGGCGCCAGCAGCCCCAGCGGCATCTTCCCCGCGCGTCGCCCCCACTGCACTTCTCATCTGTCTCGAAACTTAAGCCCGGGGCTCTTAGGTATAAAAATACTTCACGATAAACATACGTCATTTGTTATATTTTAAACTTAACGGACTTCAGTTATGGTAAACCTAACTCCGAGTTGCTGACCACGGCCTGCTTTTCCTAGGCATTAAATAGAAATAAATAGGTGTTCTGGCGCGATCTGCGTCCTCAGACAGCTCCTCCTCTTCTCCCTGATGTTCAGACGCCGTCAGCACCGTCCTCCCCTCAGAACGTGTCCTGTCACCTGGGTGTCCTCCCCTCCAAACGTGTCCTCTCACCTGGGTGTTCACCTCAGAATGGGTCCTGTCACCTGGGTGTCCTCCCCTGAAAGAACCTGTCCCATCTCCCGGGTGTCTTCCCCTCAGAACGTGCCCTGTCACCCAGGTGGCTTCCTCTAAGAACCTGTCCTGTCCCCTGGTTGCCCTCCTGTCTGTCCCTGTCTCCTGGGGAGCCTTCTGCACAGTGTCTCCCGTCACAAGCAGACGCTGTAGCCACCGTTCACGGAAGCTGGCCCGTCACGCGCGCGCGCGGCACCAACGCCCACCCTGCCGTGTCGTGGTCATCAGCTCTGACGAGGCGCACACCGTGTCTGCAGTCTGTCCACGCGAGTGTCGTGTGTCCTCAGGCTACGCACAGACACAGCGGATGCAGCAGGTGATCTACGAGGACAGATGGCGACGTGGGTGTGCAGAGCCACACTGACCGGAGGTGGCGTCTTGGACCGCGCGCCTGGCCAAGCCTGGGCAGGAGCAAGGGACGCAGGGAGACTGCAGCGCTGCGTGGCCGGCGGGACCTGGGGGTGTGGTCAGGGGCCCGGCCTGCGCGGGGGTTGCCCGCGCTGGGCTGGCACGGGGAGGCCACCAGGGGGAGCAGCTGTGTCACGATCCTCATCCACGAAACACAAGGGGAGCGCTGCAGCCAGGTCAGCGGACGTGGACGACGGTTACTGTCCAGCCGTGCCGGGGCCCGGGGGCCCGGGGGCCCCCGTCCTGGGGCGGAAGGCGGGGAGCAACCGTGATGGCGGCATCAGCCGCGCCGCCTGTTCGGGCTCGCACGCGGCTTTGCTCAGACCCCACTTTCCAGCGCGCTCCGGGCGGGCCTCGTGGAGGGGGCTGTCCTCGCCTGAAGACCGCGCTCCGGGACGGCTGTGTCCCAGTGTCAGGCACCTCGCCAGTGTCCTGTGGGCGAGGAAGGGCTGAGAAGGGCCAGTGTCCATGGCAGGCCCAGGTGACAGCCATCCTTCTACAGGCTGTGGCGTGGGGACTCTGCCCCTATGCCCTTGCTGGTGTGCATGCTTAGTCCCCAGGGTCCTGCTGGGTTCCAGTGTCTGTGCTACGTCGGCTGTGACGGTGGTGACCGGGCTGTTCACGGCAGGAGAAAAGCAGCCTCAGACCGGGAGACCCATGTCCCTGGCAGTGCCTCCGGGCCCTGGGGCGGAGCCTGTTCTGTGACCACCGATGAAGACGTAGCTGGCGTGGAACGCGAGGGCTGTGGTGTGTGATGATTTTGGTGTCAAGGAACGTGGCACACTCAGCTGCCTTCGGAGGCGCCTCCCGTGGTGGCTCTCGCCCTTGAGCAGCACACGGAGGTCCGGCCTCGGGGAAGGACGCGCGCAGGGCGGGGCTGGCGTCCTGCCTGCCTGCCTTTCCCACTGTGGAGTGCAGGCCTCGTTAGGCACCTCAGGGTCCCCAAGTTAGAAACTCGAGACAGCAGAGAGACGATGCCCTTTAAGTGACACTCAACACCTGCGCTCCACCGTTTCCTCCGTTCTAATGCCACACGCTGTGAGCGCCCAAACCCTGCGAATGCCGCTGCCTGCGGTGCCACCGCCATCTGTGAGTTGAGGCCTGGGGGCTACATGAGGGGGCTGGGAGAGACAGCCACTTTAGAGGGGCCGCGTCTTCTGGGAACACTGGCAGATGAGGGGCCTGCTCCGGCTCCGGCAGTGACCAGTGTGCCTTCTGGGCTCAGGGAGGCAGCAGGTGGGTGCCACAGCAGTGTCAGGCCAGGCCACGTGTCCAGGACCAGGGGTGCAGGACAGTGGCCGGGGTGGCCGGCCTCCAGGAGGCATTTCCCTGAGGCGGCTGTGGGCTCCAGGACACATGGCCTAGCAGGCCACACACCAGGCTCTGGCCGTGTTCGTGCAAGTGGATGTGTTGCCTTACGGCCATGTGACAGTGCCACCAAACCCCAGCAAAGGTTGTTGGATGGGGGCCTCCCTGGCCTGGCTTTGTTATGCAGCTTCCCGCGCCTGGGGTTGGCAGAGTCCAGAGAGGCCGAACTAACAGCAGAGCCTGGAGCCCAGAGGTCCAGGCTGCGCTGTGAGCGAAGGGGGAGCAGTCACGTGACCCGCAGCCTCGAGGCCCGGAGTCCAGAGCAGGAGACGGGGCCTCACGCGCCGCCTGCGGGGCAGCCGCAGAGCCAACAGGGTCTTGTGGCCTGGAGATGCAGGGGCAGCAGGGAGAGTCACAGAACAGGATGTTCTGAGTCTTCCCGGATCCGTTCTGAGAATAAACAGTCTCCGTTTCTTCTTCTTAAGAAAAAAAGCAGAAGGAAATATGACCCATGCTTAGTTTCCATTTTAAAAACTTCTACCTCTTTCCTTTGGTCCACTGAGGTGCGATCTCTGACTGGCTCACCTTCCTTTGCACCCAGGCTTCGCTTACGTGACCACACTTAGCACAGATCTGGTCCATAGGCACATGTGTGCATGTGTGTGTGTGAGCGTGTATGCGTGTCCATGAGCGTGTGTAAGCGTGTGAATGCATGAGTGGGCACGTGTGTGCGTGAGCATGTGTAAGTGCATGCCTGAGTGTGCATGCCTGAGCATGTGTGAGCATGTGTGCAAGCGTGCACCCGTGTGTGCCACAGCTGCATGGAGCCCTCGCAGACGCCGCTGTGTCCTGTTCACGGTTCACTTCACCTCACTGTTGCTGCTGGTTAGTGTTAGCGCAGGCTGCCCTCGTGGCGCCTGGGGCGTGGTCTGCCGGTCAGGGTCCGTCCCACCCGCTCCTTTAAAGCACCCCTTTTGCCTGCAAACCAGGTGGCCTGTGTAGTCTGGTCCCGGGAGACACTTCGGAAATGACGATCTGTCGACTTCCCGGCACAGGACAAGGCAGGTGTGTTAGAGAAAGGTCCGTGAGTTCCAGGGCCACGTGGGGTCGGAGGGGAGCCGCCCCGCTGAGCTCTGCCCCAGTGAGTCGGGGAATGTGGCGAAGTGTGAGGCGAGGCGGCCCGGCGCGGAGGAGGGCCCCGCCCGGGCAGCTACTTGCCCCCCTGCACCTTCTGGTCGTAGGTGCCTGCGTGCTTGTAGCCCGGCACGTAGCCCGACTCGTCCACCAGGTCCACGCGGCCGGCCTTGCCCTTGCCCCGGCCCGACGGGTCGAAGCGCTCCTTGTGGGAGCCCGTGAACTTGGTCGTGTCCGTGAGCCGCGACACAGTGGGTGACGAGATGGCCTTCTGCAGGAGGACAGAAGAGGGGTTAACCGCAGCTGAACCCCAGGGGGAGGGAGGGGCGTGGAGCCAGGGAGGGGACGTTCCAAGCGAAGGGGCCCGAGCGCTCCTGCCCACTGCCGCAGGCTCTGGGCCTGGGGAGGCGGCCCGGGTCAGCCCGCACCCGGGGTCAAGGCTCCCATCCCGGCTATGCCACTGCCATCCGTCCCCTGACCTCCCGGGCCAGGCCCCCCGAAGGACCCGCCTTGCTCACCGTCACCCCGGAGATGATGGGGGCCTTGCCCTCCACGAGCCTGTGCACCTCCCGCACGGCCTCGTCGCTGCTCCTGTCCTTGAACCGCTTCCTGGAGAGCTCCTCCAGCGCCTCCTTGAACTGCTCGAAGGTGATGGTGCGGCAGCCCTTCCCTCTGCGGGGAGAGAGGGCTCAGGGACACTGGCGCTCGCTGGCGGGGACCCAGGGACCGGGCGCGCCCCGCCCCGCCTCTCTGCCCCACCAGAAAGCAGGTCTAACGTGACAGCGCGGAACGCCCCGCCTGGGCCCTGGCCCGCAGTGTTTACGCCCAGCAGTCGGTCGTCACCGGCAACAGCAGCAAATACAAACTGTCTCGGAAAAAAGCTTAAAGGAAGCACATCCTTTACGATCACCGGGACGTGGGAACACAGCCGCCGTCCGGCTCTAAATGGGGCATGTGTGTGGCCTCCATTCAGGGAGGGACTTTCAAAGGAAAATTAGGGTGAGAAGCTTGTTGGATCCAGACCACAAGGACGAGACCTCAGTCCTGCCTGGGGCCTCCGCAGGCCGTCTGTGTGTCACCGCTACCACACAGGGACGCCCTCCCCGAGATGCCCGGCGAGGTGGGCCCCCGGCCCTGCCCCAGCACCGCCGGGCCCGCACCCGTGACAGCAGAGGTCCCCACGGAGGCGTCAGAGGCTCTGCACTGGCTCTTCACCTTTCATAATTTTAACATTTTTGCCACTTTGACCGGATCGTCTCCGGATAATCCAGTGTTTCAAAACCAGATGGTGTGGAGGAGGCTCGCGCACGGGCGGGACAGGCGCAGAAAGCCCACCGCGCTTCCGCCGCGGGAGGGAGAGCAACCCAAGCCACCCGACTGCCATGGGGACGAGACGAGCGGCAGACCCACAGCACAGGCAGGCCCGCGCTGGAAGCGGGTCACGCATAAGGGTTTCGACAAGGGAGCAGGCTCTTCGGTGGAGAAAGGATTGTATTTTCAGCAAGCGGAGACGGAAGAATGCCACTCGTGTAAAGAGCTCCGATCCCAGCCTTGCACCAGCTGTAGAGTCAGCTCAAAAAAGGGCCACTCCGGAAAGGTACGGAAACCTCTTAAGAGTCGATGATAAGGAGAAACTCAGCGTAAAAAATTGGGCATCGTATCTGAGCCAGACACTTCGTCAGGTCTGTTAGGAGCAAACCAGCACGTGGAGACTGCACGTTGTCTGTCCCCAGGGACATGCGCATGCCCGTGGGATAAGATGATGGCTCAGTGGCTGGGAGGATGAGGGGCCGCTGGTGCCCCCACGCAGCCGGTGGGGATGAAGATGATGGCTCAGTGGCTGGGAGGATGAGGGGCCGGTGGGGATGCAGCATGGCGTCCACTGTGGAAGGCACTTTGGCCATTTCTTAAAGGTCACGGCCCCGCCACCCCATTCCTGGTTCTCAAGAGAAATGAAAACTTGAGCTCACAGGCTATACCTATCACAGTTCTGCTCATCGTCACCAAAACCCAGAAGCGCCCAGTGTCTTAAAGCGGTCAACGGACACACACCTTGGCACGTCCACAGACATGCGAGGATTCACTTGCACGTTACACGTGTCTCGAGACATGGGACTGGCTGAGCGATGCTCACAGGCTATACCTATCACAGTTCTGCTCATCGGCACCAAAACCCAGAAGCGCCCGGTGTCTTAAAGCGGTCAACAGACACACACCTTGGCACGTCCACAGACACGCGAGGATTCACTTGCACGTTACACGTGTGTCTCGAGACACGCCGCTGGTCAGAAGAGAGCCGAGCAGAGGCCACGTGAGAGGAGGGATGGGGAGTATTCAGAGCTGTCCGTCCTGACGGCGTCTGTCCTGATGACCACAGGGCAGGGCTGGGTGATGTGGTAGACACAGGGCTTCATCAGACTCCGTGTTGGCGGTGGGCTCTGCCCCTCGAAGCTTTTGGCCTCGCCACCCACAAACGCACCGAAATATGCAGTGCCAAACTAAACCGACCGGGGTCCCGCGGCCAGGCCACTCCAGGCAGCTGCCCTCAGCCCGACGGCCTGGACCAGTGTACGCACAGCCTCTCTGCCCCTCCTGGCCCGGCCTGGGGGGTCACCTCCACGGCCTGGAGGCCTGTCTGTCCTGGGCTGTCCCAGGCACGCCCATCTCCTGTTCACGGGCTGCCCGGGGTGGCATGCAGACGCCAGGCCTGGCGGCCAGCCCAGTGACCAGCCACGGGGGTACACAGCCCTCTCGGCACCAGGCACTGCCAGTGTGAGTCACTCGGGCTGGGGTGGGGGTGCCGGCAGGGGCTCCTGTCAGAGGCCACATTCAGACTGGGCAGATGCACAGGCCCAGGGCCCCGACTCGCCCGCTCTGCCAGGCCAGCCCAGGTGTCCCCACATGTCCCCATACTGACCGCTGAGTGGGTTTTGGAACCCTCCCCAGGGCACACAGTGCCCCGCTGCTGAGAGGCCCCAGGGAGTTTGAGGGCGATAATGGCGGTCTCCCCCTCCCCTGACGCACGGCCACATTACTCGGCTCTCTCCACACACAGAGCGAGCCTGTTCTCCAGGTGCACAGAGGGCGGTGCCCCCACACCGGGCCTCCCTGGTCCCACCAGCGCCTGTTCAGAAGGCTCCATTCTGCTGGAAAGCTGGCCCAGCAGCGACGGGGTCACCACACACACAAGGCCCGATGAGCCGGGCTTCACCCCGCTTCCCAGGCCCAGCTCAAGGCAGGCAGGCGCCGAGCTGGCTACTGAAGGTCACAGGGCCCCACAGGCCAGCCCGGACCGAAGGCAGACACGTGTGCCTCCAGGGCCAACACCTCGAGGGCTCCCAGGTTTCGGCCAGTGCGTCTGGGAGGGCTCACAGTGACCAGCAGCCCAGCCCCAGCACGAACCTGCACGGGGCTTACTCCCAGGGGCCCCTCTGGGAGGCCAAGGCCAGCCTGTGGGGTCCACAGGGCAGGGCGGCGCAAGTGCTGCATGTCCCCAGCTTCCTCAGCCAGCAGCAGCTGGGACCGCGTGACCTGTTTAGAGGGCAGCCTGGACCAGGACACCAGTGTGAACAGGAAGTGGGGTGTTGAGGGGGACACCTAAGGCACTGATGAGAGTCCGAGCGGGGAGCCCTGCCGGACAGTTGCTTGCTGTGCTTGGGCTCCCCTGGCAGACGCCTGCCCGGGCCATGCACACGCGCACACGCGCACACACCTTCCCCCAGCCCCGCTGACAGCCCCGCCCGCCAGGCCCAGCAGGCGCAGAGCCCCAGAGCAGATGCGCCCGACGGGCGGACGACGAGGGCGCTGAGCGCCGCGCTCAGGTCTCAGGTCTGGGTACGCAGGGCCCCGAGCTGTGACCCCCACATTCGTTACTTTCCCTAAGCAAGAAACCGTCCTGATCTCGTGTGTGCCTCGTGCAGGCCTGGGCTGGGCTCCGGTGGGGGCTGCAGGGTCTGGACTCGCCCTGAGGGGCGGGTCCCTGAGGCTCACGGTGAAGCCACTGGACGTCCTGCGTTGCCGCGGGTGGCCACGAGAGGGAGCTGCAGCGCAGGACGCCACCACAGCCACGGGGCTGGGTGAACCCGGGTGGGGTGCGGACTGCAGGCAGCAGGGCCCAGTGTGGGAGGTGCAGGTCACCCTCCCTGCCAGGAGCAGAGGGGAGTGGGGATCCCCGGGGCACTGAGCAGACACTGCCGCCAGCCCCGCGGGGTCACTATGTCACATCCTGTGCAGAGCTCTGCAGACTCCCCCAGCCCCTCCTGCGGTACCCCCACCTCACGATCACGCAGCGATGGGGTCCCAGGCCTGCGCTGCACTGAGCGTGCTCGGCAGGCCCCATGGTTCAGGCCGGTTACTCCCGAGCCCCAAGTCCTGGCTCAAGCAGTTCTCACGTGTCGTGGCGAGGCTGTGACGCGTGTGGCGAGAACAGAGCAGGTTTCCGGGGACAGGCCCCCGGGAGCCCCTCCTGCCTGCTCCCTCCTAACTTGGGGCCCAGAAGCCTGACGCAGTGGCTGAGCTGTCTCCCAGCATGGGTGTTGCAGGGAACAGGCCGTTTGCTCTGCAAACATGGCACCCAGCAGGGGGACGGGGACGGGGGCGGGGAGGCTGCAGCAGAGACCCCCACCCTCTGCCCCTGGGCCTGGCCTGTCCACCTGCAGGGCGGGGCCCCCAGTGCCTGCCCCCTGCGCAGCTGTGCTGTCGGGCTGACACTCCCGCCTGTGCACACGGTCCTGTCTAATTACTATTTCAGACTGACCACCGCCCACCCTTTGGGGTGGGGAGGGGACAGGCGTCTTTGTCTAGGTAACAATAGCCCTCGATCAAGACCTGGTATAAGCCGCAAGAAATTTGTTTAAAATTTAACACATAGTAACATCAAAACAAACAGGCGCTGCCATGGTGACAGGACCTAAACAAAGGCAGCAGATACCCCAGCTGGCGTCACGGCCCGAGCCCTGGCAACCGCCCCTAAACAGAGCGGGCTTGCCACCAAACTGCCTGTCCTGCAGGACCCCAGACCTACCCAGACACTGTCTTCCAGCGACGTCGTCACGGCACTGACCACCTCTCTCATCCCAGGGGCGAGAGCATGAGTCCCCCGCCATCCTGCCCCACGTGACGTGTCCAGCAAGCCACCCAATCATGGGGACCTGCCTCCCTTCTACGGGCTCCGGCAGCTGCCACAGGCCACTCTTAACTGGGTGGTGGCCATAACCCCTCACTGGGCTGGGGCCACAGCCGCCTAGTCCCCCATTCTGCAGCCCCCGCAGAAAGCTGAGGCCAAGGTGCCAGGGGCACCAGGTAGCCCTGGGAGCCACAGTGGGGAGCCTGCCATCTCTAGGAGCTGGGGACCCCTAAGTGTCCGAGCAGCTGACATCCTGCCTCCCAGGAAAAGCCCTGGGAGCAGATAGGGTCCTTCCCAGTGCCCACCCACTCCTGTGACCCAGCACCCCTGGGTGCGCAGGTGAGTGAGCACACACGCCTCCTGCACATGGGTCTCGGGGCCTGTCCAGAGTACATGCCCTGCAGGGTGTGGAGAGCTGCAGTTCAACCAGTGTGCATGTGCTGGTGTGCAGATATGCATCATCCATGTCTGTGCGTGTGCATGTGGGGGCCTGTGAGCCGTGTACACACGTGTGCATGTGCCTGTGTGAGCTGTGTACACGTGCGCAGTGCCTGCATGTGCTATGTGCACACACATGCACGTGCCTGCATGTGCTCCTGTGTGCACACGCGTGCACGTGCCTCCATAAGCTCATGCGTGCATGGGGGGCTGTGAGCTCCTGTGTGCACACGCGTGCACGTGCCTGCATAAGCTCATGCGTGCATGGGGGGGCTGTGAGCTCCTGTGTGCACACGTGTGCACGTGCCTTCACACTCCTTCACACAGTAGCCTAAAAGCAACTCAACTGCAAAAGGGGCTAAGAGCAAGGGAAGGAAAAGCTGCCCAGCAGCCTGGGCCAGCGCCAAGGACGCGGGACCCTCGACGCTCCCTGTGAGGTGGCCTGCCCCTGGACACACCACTTATCTCGCCTCCCTCCCAGGTTTCTAGAATGTTTCTCAGCAGACTCAGCTCTTGGGGCTCCTCTGCCCCTGGGTCTGTCCTGTCTCTCGAACACATTGGGTTTACAAGGCCAACGCTGAGGGCCTGGAGGACCTGCCTGGGGAGCCGAAGGGAGGAAGCACGCTGGGCCCCATCCCAGTCCCGGCGCCAGCTGCTGCTCCCCCTCCTCCCCTCCCCTCCTCTCCTCCCCCTCCTCCTTCCTCACCCCACCCACCTCTTCCTCCTCCTCCTGGCCCCAAAGCCTCCTCTAACCCTGGACCTTGGGAAGGCACCGGCTCGCAGGAAGCAGCCAGATTCCCACATTCCGTCTACAGTGTCATGGAGGCTTTGGTCTGATTGTAGTAATCCACCTGGTTCCACCTTTCCAGGTGAGATGGCAACGTGCCTGTCTCCTGGGCCCCATTCCTGGGTCCTGATGGCTGGCCCTTGGGGAACATTTGGGCTGACCTCTCCTCTGTCCCAGCCACCCTGGGCAAGCTCCCGCTCAGGGGGACTGAGCCAACCTTAGGAATTCCAGCCTGTGGCTCCGCAGTGACTGGGGGTGAGGCTGCCCCTCAGCTTTGCTGGCTGTCAGGATGGTATGTCCAGCAGTGAACCAGGGAGACCTCACCGTGAGGGAGATATGCCCAAGCACACGTTCACAAGCAACGTGGTGACATGAAGTCACAGCCTCTGGGGACACAAAGGAAAGCATTCGCTGCCACTGCTCAGAGGGGCAGGGTGGACGGAGGGGCCAGGCTGCCAACAGGGTGCCGAGGTCACGGGGACACGCAGCTAAGGAATCACACTGACTGCAATGGACACGGGCCAAAACTCAGCTGAAATAAAGACATTTTCCAGCAGCAAGCGTAACCTAGGCAGAGAAGACTGGACATTCGGCGGCCTTGGGGACACTGAATTTTCCCAGGTGGGCACGGGTTGCAGACGGCAGGAGAAAGTCCTCGTGCTTCAGAGATGCCGGGCGGAACAGGAAGGGGCGGGGGGCGACCATGGCTGGAAAGGATGTGCGGACGCCCGTGCACACGCACTCACGCACACATCAGCACGCGTGCACGCGTGTGCTCACAGGCGCACGCATGCACAGAGGAAGCACAGCGCCCTGCTCAAGGTCACCGAGTTACAGGTGCAGACTCGAGTGCTCGCTGTCTGTCATCCACTCCTCACGTGTGATTTCCCCGTGGAGGGCTGGCAGGCAGGGGCGAGCGAGACGCCGGTCACACCGCAGGGACAGGCTTGACGGCTCAGCACAGATGCCCGCCTCTCTGACTCGGCCGCCCAAGACCCGTCACGGCTCCTGCGGGGCAGGGCAGTGTCCCCGCCTGGGCTCTGGGCCCGCCCTGACACGCGTGTTCTGGCTCCAGCTCCCGGGCGTCTGACTCTGAGAAGGAAAAGACCCCACGGCCTCTCCTGCCCTCACGGGCCATTAAAACACCACCCGCCGTGGACCCTGACGGGCGGCCTCGGGGCGCCGGCTCCGCACGAGCCAGCCAGGCGCACTCACTTGATTTTGCTGAAGACGATGTCCACGTCGGTGACGGTCACGTTCTTCCCGTCGATCACCTGGCAGTCCTTGCACAGCTTCGACCAGTTCTTGCCGTGCATCTCCTTCCCGGTGGCCCTGGTGTCCCCGTGCACGGCGAAGCGCCGGAAGGCCTCCTCCAGGGCACTGAGCTCCGGGCCTGCGGCGGCCGCCCCCTCACTAGCACCTTCTGACTCCAGTGACAGCCTCTTCGCTGTCCTGTCCTTCGCGGGGTCCCCTGGGGACTTTGGGGGTGTCTTGTTGGTGGCCTTAGCAGGCTTGGCCTTGCTGTCGGCCATGTTTCTGGAAGAAGAAGGAGGGGAGAGAGGGGTTACTGCTCCCGCCCCCACGATAGGAGGCTGGCAGGGTCCCTGGGACCCCTCAGAGTCGAGCCCCACACACGGGGCGGGGGAGCAGAACCCCTACCCGGCAGCTGCAGCAGAGGCTGCTGGACACGGTGCCCCCGTGACGGGGTGTCGGCACCCTGCTGTCCCTCCCCACCACGGCTCCATGGCATGACGCGTCCTCAGGGAGGGGGTTCCAGAATCAGTCACGCTGCTGCCCCCACCTCGAGGCTGAGTCTGCTCCCCCAGTGTGGGTGGCAGAGGGAGACCCTGGGGTGTCTGCCCAGGAACACGACGGGCCAAGCACAGCCGCGCCAGGCCTAGGGTGAGGGCACCATGCGTGGGGGGCCGCCACGAGCCCCGTCGCGAGCTCAGGGAGCCCGCCCTGGCCTGCCCCAGTCTCTGCCTCTGGGACCCTGGGAGGCATCTGAACCCCAACAGCACGCTGGGTCCCGGGGTGGGATGGGGGCAGCGCTGAGGACAGGAGCCGGCGCCTCCAACAGGAGTTAGGACAGGGCTGGGCTAAGCACAATGCCACCGCCTCCTGCTCATGGTGGGTGGCCAGGGCCGGGCCCCTGGGTCCCTCCCACGCGGCTTCCCAGAGCAGCAGCCTGGGGGTGCATCTCTGCCTCGCTGAGGACGGACGGCTGTGGCGGCTCAGCCGGAGGAGAGAACTCAGGATGGGTGCCGGATGTGACGGGGCCGTGGGGGCCATGGGCAGCTGCTGCTCACGGACGGCCCCAGAACCTGCCCCGTCCATGCCAGCGAGTCAGAGATGGGCCAGGCGCTGTGGCCGGTCCTGGTGGCTCTGCCCATCCCGAGGTCCTACCAGCTCCCCACAGTCGGAGTCGAATGCCCTGGACCCCTGAAGTGGGTGTTCTCGGGCCTTGTGGGCGCGGTCCCACCATCCCCGTTCCTCTGCGCTGGCACAGAGAGGCACCACGGGGACCCCCGACACGGAGAGCCACCGGCACAAGTGAAAGGTCAGATCGGCAGTCCGGCTTCCTGTCGGGGGGCGGGGGCCCGGGGGGGCCGGGCGCGGCACATCGCGGGAGTGCTCCCAGCCGGGGGACGGGGCGCCAAGGCAGGGCCAGCAGGTGTCAGGTGTCTGCGGAATTGCTTCCCGGCTTATCGCGGACGCCATTTCTTTGTCTGAAGCAGGAGCTTCTTGCGGGCGTGGAGCGCTCGCCGCTGCGACTCACCCAGCGCCCACAGCGCTGGGTGCCCAGGAAGGACGGCGACCAGGACACTGCTAGAAGCGTGTCAGTTCGTGAGGACACGGGAGCACGCACGCGTGACAGAACCTGACGCTGCGAACCCACGCGTTCGACAGGCTGGGTGTAGGTGACGAGAAAACACGCCAAGTGCCACCGGGAGAGCTGCCTCTGGCGTGGGAGGCCCGGTCACGCCCTCCGCGCGCCCCACGCCCCCGCGTCCCCAGGCCACGCGAGCCGCGTGACGTGCCCTGGACACGCGCGGAACGGACATGCGGATTCAGGCCCGTGGGGCGGGCTCGGTGAGAACTCAGCCCCCGGGACCGAGAATGAGGGACACGGGACAGCAGGCAGCAAGGGCCGCCCCGGCTCCCGCACCTGGGGAACCAGCCTCCGCACACCTGGCCCTGCTCACAGGGAGAGGCGCTGAGGAAGGGGTTAGCAAGCCCTGTCCTGCGCGGGGGCGGGCGCCGGGCCGCGGGCGGAGCCGCACGAAGCCGCAGCGCTGCAGGTGGTCTGAGGGTGCACCCCTCACCCCGGACGCTACGCCACCCCGCCGGGCCCGCGGCCGCAGAGGGCGGGCGGTGGCTGTCCAGGCCGTGAGTGACCGTCAGCATCGCAGGGCTCCCAGGCCAGCCTGGGAGAGGCTGCCGGAGGCCCAGAGAGGGAGGGGCAGGGTGTCCCTTAGCGGAAGTGGCTGCCAAGACGTCAAAATGTCCACCCCCCGAATGCAGCATTAAACAGGACCTCTGAGGTGTGGGCCGCATTCTTAGATGTGTGCTGCACCCCAGGTGTGTGTCCTGCATCCCAGGGGAGCTGACCCCTCCGTGGCCAAGATTCCCCTCACAGGGCACAGGTCAGCGTGTGGTAGGCGTGGAGGCCCATCAGGTATGACCAGGCATCATTCCACCTGATGGCAGACGTCACAGCAGGCCCCGTCCCTGCCAGGCGTGAGAACTGCCGGCAGCTCGGGAAAGCCCCCGGGAGTCAGGTCCCGGTTTATTCCATGTGAAATACATCAGCTCCCTGTGAAAGCCCAGTCTCCCTCCTGCTCCTCTCTCGGCTGCTCCCCTGGGGAGACCCCAGACTCTGGGATGTTTGCGGGTCGAGAGGGAGGGGCAGGGAGGCTGCCAGAAGCTGAGGGACACACCTGTGAAATGCTGACAGGGAGGTGGGACCTCCCTTCCCACACGAGAGCTGGGCTCCCTTGGGACCCCTCTCCTGCTGGCCACAGAGGGCCTGGGTGGGAGGATGAGAGCTGTCTCTCCCTGTCCCTGGCTCTCTGGCCGAGCATCCCGCTGTAAGGCCCTCCCTGTGGGACCCCGTCCGTGTCCCTCAGCTCTGAAACCTGGCAGGAGGAGCAGGGGGGAGGCAGGCAAGCTAGGGAGCACGTCCGGGCCTGCGTGAGCTGGCAGCCCCGGCCAGGCTCCCCGAGGCAGGACAGACACTGTCCGAGAGGGGTCAGGAGGGGACCACTGAGCACTCACACTGGGTGTGGGGACAGGCTGTGTTACTGGGTTTGCATTTTCAAAGGCGCTGGAGAGGGCGGGGTACAGGGTGGAATTACGGACGGCGGGGGCAGGCAGGCGGGGGGCGCGTGGTGCCCAGAGAGCAGCCTTGCCAGGTGACCCCACCCAGGCCGGGACACCTGCCCCTCGAGTGTCCCCCACCCAGACCAGATACTTGCCCCTCGAGTGTCCCCTGGGCTCTGGGGACCATCCCACCGCTAACACCGGGCTGTCCCTCAGGCCCCACATCACCCAGGACACCACCCGTCACGGGAACGGACGGGCCAGGTCCCTGCTCCGGAATGGCTGTCCTTGGACCCTGCATGAGGCCTCACTGCCTGAAGTGAAACCCACAGAAATGGTGACACAGGGTAGACTTCAACAGGTGACAGTCACAGTTGTCACATGTCATAAGCACACAGTGTTCAGACCAAGACTGAAAATTCACGTCAGTCACGTGCTACAACAGAAGCAGGTGTCCGTGAGCAGGGCCAGGTGTGTCTGTGAGCGGGGCAGGTGCGTCTGTGAGCAGGCCAGGTGTGTCTGTGAGCGGGGCAGGTGTGTCTGTGAGCGGGCCAGGTGTGTCTGTGAGTGGGCCAGGTGTGTCTGTGAGCGGGGCAGGTGTCTGTGAGCAGGGCAGGTGTCTGTGAGCGGGGCCGAGTGTCGAGAACAGGGCCAGGTGTGATTTTAAAGGTGGCAGCGACAGCAGCTTTGTGCTCTCCTGGTCCCCTCCTGCACAGGACATGCGTGTGCCCTGAATGTAAAGATGGGTGTTTGCCTGCTTTCTAGGTGTGAATCACCTCCGCGCCTGGGCTCCCCCAGGCCCACGCTCAGCACCCCATTCCCAATGCCGCGTCTACACCCCCACCTGCAGTCTGACCAGACCAGTTGGACCAACTCTCCTGTACCTCGTAACCAGGTGCCCTCCAGCCCCTCCACCTCCTGGCACACTGTCCATGGCACACTAGGCATCGCCACACGCAGTCCGCCCCATCAGGCACGTGGTGCACCCAAATGGCCGAGCCTTGCTGGACCGAGGACCTGTGGACAAGCTGCGCCAACACTGTGCAGCCAGAGATGACATGCAGAGCGCACAGGTGGGGCCGACAGGCCGCGTGGGGTGGGGGGCAGGGCCTGCCGCAGGGGACACGGAGCTCACAGAGGACTGTGCACCTCCCCCATGCTGCCCATCCTGGGGCCACGCGAGACCCTCCTGCTGTCCCCTGTCCTGGGAGCCTCGGAGCAGTGGGACAGCCAGCCTCCCACGGCTCTGTCCTGCCTGACTCAGTCTGCACCCGACACCCACCCCTCCCCGCCCAGGCCACCTGGGCTCCTGCCCAGTGGAACAGACCCCTGTGGAGGGGAAGACACCAGGTCAGGGGGCCACGCTCGCCAGCAGGGCCACGTCCCTTACCAACTAACCGGCGGGGGTGTCTTGCCCCAGAGGTATCTCGCAATCTTAACTCCAGAACCTTCTCGTACCCAGGTTGCGTAGACAGCCCGCTGAGAAGCGCCCGTTTAAACAGAAGGGGGCCGCAGGGTTCGGGCGCCTGCGGGATTCGGGCGCCCGTGGGCCAGGCGAGGGGGCCTGGAATGTGTGTGGCAAGCTGGGCTGGGCAGCGTCCACTGTGGTCTGCAGGAGTGTATGTCTGCTGGTGGGTGACAACGCAGCCACAGGCCTACCTTGCAGGTGGCAAGGGCCCCGGCACAGCAGGCAGCAGAGGGAGCCGATGCCTGTGTGCTGGGTGGGGCCTCTGAGAGGCGACCTGGTGCCGCCAGCACCCCGACACCCAACACCCGACCAGTCGGGGCAGTGCCTTCCGCCAGGGCAGGACAGAGGCCTGGAGCGTCCCGGGCCCACCGGCCTGATGCGAGGCACGGGCTCCATGCGAGAAGCTGCGGGCCCGGAAGGGCCAGCATTCCCGCGGGCCGTGGGCTGGCGTGTGCCGGGCCTGCCGTGGGGCTCCTGCGGCCTGCAGGGTGGCCGAGTGGCCGTGAGCGCTGGGGGTGCCTGCCTGCAGGCTCTGGCACAGTGGCCGCTGGACTCAATGGGACCAGGGGGCTCCAGACCAGTGCAGGGGTCAGGGCGAGCAGCATGGGCAGCGGCATCTCCCCCCGGCCTAGCCTCCGGGGCTAGCGGGCCAACTCGGCGAGCCCAGAGGCTTCATCAGGGTCTGCTCCCGACGCCGGCCCGGAGGGTGAGGGGATCGGGGTGACAGCAACAGCCCCCAGATAAGGTACAGGCACAAGTGCTCCAGGGGGGCCCAGGGCCCAGGGGTCCAGGGGCACCTTCTGCTCGCTATGCCATCTGTCTGGCCCGCACAGGCCCTGACCTCGGCCCTCCACAGTGACGTTCTCTGGGTGCCGGGCGTGTGCAGGAGACCCTCAGGCCACAGTGGCCTGAAGCCTGGAGGGGGCTGGCTCCGCCCGGCTCATCCTGCCTCCTCACTCCGTCCCAGCAGAGGCTCAGACCCAGCCTGGGGTCTAGGAGTGTCGGTCCTGGTCCTGTACCCGGCGTGGGCACAACCCGCCCTCCCTGTCCACAGCCCAAGGAACAAAGGCCATCAAAGGCCCGAAGGCCGAGGGGCCAGCCCAGCACTGCCCCCGCCTCAGCGCTGAGTCCATTTGAGCACAGCGTGGCCTTTCAATCACGACACGGCCACCCGCCCTGTGGCTGCCCAGGACACTTGATATGAATGACCACTCGTCTCAGCCGAGGGCCGTCCCAGGCGGCGGGAGCCTCCCGGAGCCAGACAAAGCGGCTTTTTCTGAGCCTACGATTCCTGCCAACCATGTGGGGACGGTCCCCAGCCTCAGCCCGGCACAGAACGTGGCCCCAGCACCCGCCTTCCCAGTCCCCAAGTCCGGAGGCCCCAACGCACCGGGCTCTCCGAGCGAGATGTAGGTCCTCGTGGTCGGAGCGGCCGGAGACCAGGTCGTGCCTCGCTGGGCCGTTCGTGGTCAAACGCGATTTCTCGGTCGCAGAACAAGGGGCAGAGTGGACCAGGGCGTGGACCAGGGGGGAGGGGCCGGGACTGCCCCCCGCCCACCTGGGGACCCCCGAGGTCCTCAGAGCGGCCCCCAGACCAGCTTGGCCCGGCTGAGACGCCCGCCCGACACAGCGCCCGGCAGGAGCCCGAGCCACCGGGCGGGACCGACGGAGTCCCAGAGGACGCAGGCGCTGCCGGACGGGCCGGAGGGGACCCCGCTGACAGGATGGGGTCCGCCTGGCCAGTCTGCTGCTCGCCCTCTCCTGAGGAGTGCCC